CAAACAGCTCAAGGCTCACTCGGTTGTCACCTGTGGCTAGAGTCTCGGCCTGGTTGAATTTTAATGTGTGGCCAGATCTCGTCGAATGAGCCTCAACTTCAGCGGTGGCGTCATTCCTTCGTGTTCGGCCATTCACGTTCGGGGTAGTCTTCCGGTTCCTCCGACCTAGCTGCTTTTCCGCAACTGCATCAGACCCGATATACGACTACAGATGTTTCGTGCCATGACAGTGGAGCTTTCGGTTTCCTTATTGGACGCCTGATGTCAGTGGTCCACACATCGTTGAATTCAGTTTGAATTTAAACAACAGGGCCATTGTAGTCAAAGTCGAGTTTCTCAGCGCATATCACTAGTCGTATGCTTGTCGCCAGAGAAGTCGGAGTTGTGGTGAGCTCCCACAACATGGCAAATGACTTATGACTTAAAAGTACACATCAAAGGGGTAGAATGCAGGCCGTTGTGTAAGAGGCAGACAATTCCTCGAAGGATCGCCGGGAAAAGAGTCAAGAGTTGCCTACTCAGTTAGGTGACTCACCAGCTGGAAACTTTAGGCAAAACGTCTAGTCCCAGAAAGCGGGATATACTGTCTAAAATGGAATTTCAATGAAGCAACCACGGGAATTTCTAGTGACTCATCGTAAGTATGTGAGGAGTGGTAATCCCGTCGGTTGCATTGTGCAATGAGATGATGGTGCAGGGAAAAGTTGAAAGGCATTCCAGAACACGGGAAATGATATGGCAGGGGAGGCATGCAGACCAATCGGCGTGCGCTGGAAGGCACGTGCCCGCCCAGGCGCAAACGGCAACGGGTCAATAAACCACCGTGATGGCGGCGAAGGGCGCGTACGGAGGGCCGGAGGCAATTTATTTTGGCAGCCGAGGCAACAGGCGGGGGCCGTTCGGTGTCCAGTGCGCGAGGCACGTGTGGTGCTAAGCACGCGAATGCACACTGGAGTGTATGCACTCCTAGATTCAATCGGGAACGGGAATATAAACTCCTACAAAAAAAATTCCACTTGTGTAGCCCTAACCTATCTGGCCCCAATCCCAGCACTAACCTTGATATACTTAATTTTAACCCTTCCCCCTTGGAATTTAGGACATGGCTACCTGTAATGCGGTGCCTAACGTCTCATCGTAATCTATGCCTCTTGCTCACCTATTGAACGCCTTAGAAGGTGCTTATGGACCACGTGCGAGACCCCATTAATCATCGAAGTCGGAGTGTAAAGGGCACCGGTCCCGTCAGTCTGTCTCCAGGGTCGTTAATGCTGAGCTATGTGCATAGAAAACAAGGGGAAGTTGAAGGTCTTCGACCACCGCCTGAAAATGATGCCTCAAGTGAAGTACACGGACCTTGTCCCGAATGCGACAGGCTGTCGTCGCTGTGAGAAAATGGAAAGAATATGTTGGGTCAGCCATGGAAGACGACTGTGGTGCTTTGGGCACGTTTTTTTATTGATCGAGGTTTGCGTTCCGTGCTGCTGGATTGAATCCGGCGCCACCGCCAACCAGGAGGCGGCGATGGATGTTGGTAAAAAACCTGACTAGATACCTTCCCTTAAGGCATCTAGACAGCTTTTTTACCCTCTATATTTGGCGTTCGTAAGTGAAAAACGGTGAGTCAAGCTCTTCAGATACGCTGGTGCTGGTGAGGGTTGCGCATGGAGAGGTAGTGATTGCGACACGTGTATCCGCAGAGTCGCAGCTGCCAATGAGCCAATTGAACACCACACCCCGGCGAATAAAACACATGCCAATCGGACACTACTCGAGCCTGCCCCACAGAAAGCAGCTGTCACCAAAGCCTCACTAACTCTCAGGCAAGACTGGACACCGTCAGCACCGGCCCTGGTTTCGGCCACGGCCACTTATGTGTGACAACAAATAAGGGTGACTTCGGTGTTTTCACTACAACTTGGAATTTGGCCTGATGAATGTGGAGCTCTGAGTATACCCTCACCTCTTAGACGCTACATGACTCCGGCACACTTCAACATCGACGTAACCCCGAAAACGGCTCATTTGAAAACCACGAACTACAGTGACCTGCATATTTTTTCGAAATATCGAGAGACTTACGCGGCATCGATCGAACTCTTTCCTCACACAGCTCTTGAGTTTAGGCGACAAGAGAAGGCCAGGATGGCCGGAAATGGCCCAAGCGCAACGACCGAACAGACCAAAAAGTTGCCATACGCAGGCTGATTCATAAAACCACATGAATATAACTTAATTTACTGGAATCGCAGCCATGGGAGTCTTCAAATTAAGGATTCATCGAAATCCATTTCCCAGTCCATAGAACAGAGTTACCCAATCAGTCGTGACGGAGAAAAAAGCGGGCCACAGCCACTACAGTTAGTGACCTAACTCATGAAGTGTGTCGAAATTTACGAATGATTGCCAACCACTCGCAAACCGACACCATTTTATGAGTCAAATATCTATGTTAATTAATTACAAGTTTAAAAGAATCGAAAACACAAAAGAAATATTAAAAGCAGTGTTGCGTTGTTTAGAAATGTCGATTTATTTTGAAAAGCGCAACATCCCGAAAACGTCAAAAATGGTTCTAATTAAGTACATTTCGTTTTTAGATGTATAGAATGTATTCTCGTACCAAAAAACGCAGTAAATATGAAGGTGGACATAAAATAACGTCTAATAATAGTGTTACAGTAGAGTTTACATCTAAATATCGTCTAATAAGTAGTGTGAATTCATATATGACGGTTTGCCAACTGCCTACACTCTGAGTGTAGATTCCAAAACAGTTTTCTAGTATTTCGTGTTTTCCTTGACTATTTGGAGTTAAATGAGATGGGGTTCACCAAGAGAAGCTGGATTTTGTTTGATTTCGCCGATGGGGACGTCGTAGGAACAAAAGTTTTCATAAGGTGACATGCCATGAGGCCAGTTGGTGACTAATAAATTTAAATAGAACCGACAGGCGTGATCGTAAACATACGATTTTGTGTTTATAGAGAACTTTTTTCCGTTAAATTAATTTACACCTTTCGTTTGTTTTGGATTACTTTGAGTTTCAGGTCGGCCTCGAACTATTGCTGAATACTTCATGATTTTGAGTGATCATAAGCTGAAAATGGAGCTCATAGTAAGGAAAATGCGATGTCTAGGGGTGGCGGCAAACAGTCAGTCTTTTGTGAATTGGGACGGTCTTGGGGTTCATAAAAAGGATGAAGTAGTCAGCAGTTTTACTATTACCATCAGTCGTGCTTTGCCTGTTTTGGCCGAGACTCAAAACGCTGGACTGCAGGCGATCGTAGACAAAGCCTAAAAAATTGTCGGTCGCCCAGTGACCGGTTTCTACCATGAGTGAAGGTGTGTACCACGACTAGAATTCTAATCAACGCTCTTTTCCATAATGATAGGGCTAAAAACCTCTTGGCCACGTGCTTTTATTCGTGCAGCACCAGTCAGCATACGACGACAAGTCGAAAAAGAATTGATTATAAAACCAGGCTGCGACTTCCCTCTCTATACAGCGCATAGTTTTTTTAAGTTCTCTACGGGATTGAGTAAAGTCTTGAAAAGTAATGTTCCGGTTACTTCATATAAGTGAACTCAGGTGACACGGAAAAATGGGTGAACGGGATAAAAACACGAAAGTAAGTGTGGCAGCAAAAGTAGGGTCATACCACGTTCCGGATGTGAACGCCGCCGCCGATTAGGACAAATTTCGGAGCCGTTCACCGTTGAGACGGAACATTCCGGCGTCGGCGGTTTGGTGGATGACACTGACGGCGTTTTTAGCCAGGTGCCATCATCCTTACTTAAGACGTCGGCGAATTCAGCGGCATACCTGAGTTTCTGGGAGGAAACGGCCAGGCGAGCGGTCCTCTGAACGTATACATGCACAGAAAATGAAAAAAGAAGAATTTGTATATGAGTGTGGATTTTCCTACATATCAAGGACGGGATTAAACCGCGTAGCAGTCGCCTGGGAATGAGAAATTAGTTGGGGGGTGTTGCAATGTGGGACACAAAAGCTCGCCTAGTGGAGTGTAGCGGGTACGATAAACTACCCAGAAATATAAAAGTTAAGGACTGACGAACTGGACTAATAACTGTCACCTATATAAAATGTTTGTGCTAATTTTGATTGTTACTAGGCATTTGAAGTAACCACCGTGCCATGCCATATGCAGTTATTTTTGCTGAATATTCCGATTGCATCAAAGCAAGACCTTACGCTGTGACTTTGGCATAACTAATCTCCGAACCAAGTAGGCAGTATAGATTGGGAGGAGTTTCAGGAAGATTTATGGTGAAAGCAGAAAAAACATGGATGATGACAAATATGCTCGAGGACCAGATGGCTGGCATTAACGTGTCAGATAGTCGTTTGGGGCTAAGGTATGGCCGGAAGATGACGGGAAATATGTACGAAATGGTTATTTTGGTCGGATGTGGTTCGGCAGCCTCACCTGAAGTAAACGAACCTCAGGCACCTCTAATACGGGACGGGTGGTAATAAGGGTTTTTACAGGCGGAGCCGGGGAACGCACAGGCGACGGGGTCAAGTAGTTGGGTGCAAAAGAAGGTAAGATCGCAGTTGGTAGCCAGACATTATACGTTGATACTGTCGAAGTACGTACTTGTTATCAGCAGGTGTCCTCTTACTGAGCTATGCGGGTCGCCCGTTTCGGTCAGGCTGTTGGGTTAAGTGAGGGTTAGGGTTAGTCGTAAGTTAAGTTTGAGGATTATGGTTTGCGTTTTAAGGTCAGGTTTCAGTGTTAGGGTTAGGTTTTAGGTTCTCGCTAGGATTACGGTTAAGGTTGGGGTTATGGCTAGGTTTTGGGTTAGCGTTAGGTTTTAGGATTTTGGTTACGTTTCGGTTTCGAGGCCTAGGGTTAGGCCTTAGGGTTGCGGCCATGGTTGGATTCTAGGATTAAGCGTAGGGTTTAATTTCTGCCATTATTCCACCTACTTAAAACTCCTCAGCACTTTCCCTGGTAACTTTACTTTTACCCAAAAACTCCGGCATTCCTCTATCAGCCCTTCCATTTACCCGACCCATAAAACCCCCTTTCCCATCATTCCCGCACGACAGGGACCTGGCTGTGCACCTTCCCATTCCTGGCTACCAACTGCGATCTAACCCAAAAGAAAAGCTATTGGGGATGCGCGGTCGCACTTTGAGTGGTTGAGAAATAGTTGCACTAATCCCTAACCCTAGCCCCTAACTATAACCCCTAGTCTTAAATCCCAACCCCTAACCCTAACCTTTAGCCCTAACCCCTAACCCCAACAGCATTGTGCCCATCAGGTGGGGCTACCAAACCACATCTTACCGTTATTTTAATACCCCTTATCGTTGACGCGTTAGCTAACCATTGTGGACCACCCCATTAACCAAAAACTACTTCAGTTGGAAAAAAAGTCATACAAGCTGTGACAGTCCACCCCCTGGTCGTTAGCGCAGCCGTTTACGTATGCCGCCTTCGACCCACCTAAATTCCCCTACCAGTTCGCTGCTTGAGTCACGCGTGCGGTAAGAGCTCGAGGCAAATCGATGATGCGGCCTTCGTTGATTGGCTGCTGGCGGACAAAACCCGGAGGCACGCATGCGCTCCACGTCGGGGCTAGCAATCCAAAACGGCTGGATCCGGGCTGATGAGAAAATTTGTTACTGCTGCTCCCTAGCCTCAGTAACTCTGTCTGATCTAGCTTAGCATTGGGAAACCTCAGGAGAAAGTCGCGCGTAAAGTTTCATTTCCTGCCGAAACTGATATAGTCATTCAATTAACCTGCTTCCATAAGTATGTGCTTTGAGCTACATCTTGCTGAAAGTTAAAATGCGGAAAACGGGAATGTTTTCGTTTGCAATAATTTTCCTTTAAACTAAGAGGATCACTCTAATATCTAATAGATGCGCTATCTCATAAAATGTTAACTGAAATTCCGAAATGTTTTCGACTTGAAAAGATTACTCAAGTAAGGTTGCAATATTAATGATCTACAGCATAAGCATGAGATATTTCAGTCACGTCAGGATACCGGAGTTTGAAAGAGCTTCTTTTCGGCCGTCTACAATAACACTCTGCAAAAATGATTACTTAAGTAGTATGAAAATTCCACAGCGATTATCGATGTCCATATAAATTCAATTACATTTTGTAGAAATCGTGTGCTCATTTGGTGGCAAATTATGCCTTCTTCAAATTTTATATTTGAAGAGAGAACAGCTTCCGGTTTTTAGAAACTTCTCCGATTCCAGAGTAATCTTTCGCTCCATCTGCCACTACACTCGCATTCAGGGTTTCCAGAGACACATTCCGGCAAATGAATATTACACATTTCGGTAAGATGTGGTTATGCAGCTGCACCTTATGGGCACAGCACTGTTGACATACTTAATTAGTTTGAGTTGGTGTGATTACGAATGGAGGCGTGAGTACGTTGGCATGGTGTTGCTGAGCGTTGCGTTCTCTGTTCTGTTGGTGGCCTTGTTTGTTTGTTGCCGTGTCTACTTTTTTGGCCCACTGCCGGTGGTCCTTCTTGACTTTCAGCCTGTCGTCTCCTTCTAACTTTTGCGTTGGATGTTTCAGGGTGAGAGGTTAGGGCTACGGCCAAGGGTTAGGGGTTGGCGTTAGGGGTTATGGTTAGGGCAACTATTTCCGGACCACTCAAAGTACATCCGTGCATTCCCGGTAGCTTTTCTTTTGCATACAATTACTTGACGTCGTCGTCTGTGCGTTCCCCGGCTCCACCTGTGAAAATCCCTATTATCACCGGCCCCGTTTTACAGGTGGCAGGGGTTTGTTACCCTCGGGTACGGCCACATAACCAAATCTGACCTATATTTCTCTAACCCGTCAGGAAGACGTCATATAGTACTCATAAAATGGCACAATGGATGTGAACCAGGTTGTATGCTTTATAAGCAGCATTAGTGGATGCGATGCTGCATGGACATTTCATGAACTTAAAAAATCACACACTTTGGAACAATTTTTAAAACCGAAATATACATTTTCTTTGGGTATAAAATTTGAGAAAGAAATACTCTACTACTAAATGGGCACACGAAAGAATACTTGGTTAGATCGCAGTTAGTAGCCCGGAATGGGAAGCGGACGGCGACCTAACCCTAATCCTAACCCTGACGTCAAAATTAAACGTTGACTGTTAACCCTAACGGCAACCCTAACCCTAACCGAAATCGTAAAGGTAACTGTAGCCCTTAGGCATAGGCGTAATTGAAAACCCTAACCGTAATACTGAAACCTAATCGTACGCTCAAATCCTAACCGTAACCCGAAAACCTAAGCCTAAATGCATAACCCTAACCCAAAAATCGGAAACTAGTAACCGGTAACCTAATCCTAACCTCAGCCGTAAAACGGAAGCCAGTAAACAAACCCCCAGCCACCTGTAATAGGGGGCCTGGCTACCAACTGCGATCTAGCCGAATACTTTTGTGTACCTGTACAAGGACATCGAAAATAAGTAGGCAAATGTCACACTGCTTAAGTAGTCCTTTTATTGTGTGTTTTTGCAGACAGTCGAAAAGAAAAAGCTCATTTAAAAGCCGGCATTTTGGTGTGACTGAAATATTATAGGATTATGCTGCATGATTACTGATATCTTTTCGAATCGAGAACATATTTCAAAATTTCGACTGCAGCGTGAAACACGAGCTCTCGGGGTCACAGATGAGAGCTGAGTGCCTATTAGAGGTCAGGTCGGGCAACTATGCAGCAACTGGTTGTACCGGCTGTGTGTACACCCTATACAATAAGGGCATAGACACAAATAGCATGCATATCAGATACAAGAGGTGTACTTGCGGTCCTAGACTCATCAAAACGTAACTAACCTTGGAGGAGAGAAGTTCATCGGGTTCTTTCGATTTCAAAGGACTGCGGGGGAAGAAGTCGGTTATCAGAGTTGCTTGCTTAGCGCCATGGGCGGAGTTGTTGAACTTTTCAAACACTGAAGAAAGGGTGGACTCACTGGTCGCCGTGCTCCAGCCTAACCTCTCAACAGCAAACGTTAGGGCGCGAGCAGAACGTTAAGGAAATATAGGACGCAAGTCTGTTAGGACAGAGGTGCATAATGCGCCGGGAGTGAAGAGTGTCCAAGAAACTCTCTTCGTTTATTTTACCACTTAGTCGTTGGAACGTAAATTTGCTATTCAGATACACACGTTTGGCCTTGAAGACAGCTAACTTCCACAATGAACTAATGACAATTAACGGCACAGTTGAAAATTTCACAAATCGGACAGCAAAACGCGGTTCGATTGCTTTGAAGGCAATTCGTTAAAATAACCACAACAGGCTAGCTCACGAAAAACCGACCGTAACCCAAAAATAAAGCCCTAAATAAACAAAAAGTGACTAGGCGAGGTTGCAACGCTAATAAGCATAGTCAAAAATAATACATCACAGCAAGTTTGCTTCTTATTGAAAGCCGTTCCAACTATGCGAGCAATCTAAATCATAAAAATAACCATGCAGCATATGCTTTTCCGATCGGGCCTCGGTGCCTATACAAAGCCAATCACTGTCCCTAGAACAGAACGCCTATTGGTTCCTCAATATCCAGTCTAATTTCAGAATTGGTCCTATAAGAGCCGGAAAAGTTCGCTTTCAACCACTAAGAGCCTGAGTTTTCGCCCCGATACGCAGACAACACTATCGTTACAGTTAAAGGGCATATAAGAAAGGATCTACTACAGCCTGAAGTTCAGTTCCCAATTTACTTCAAAATACATCCACAGGGATCTAATTGCCAACTGACAGGATAGACTTTTGAGCCATCGTTCTTAATGAGTCGTGATAGACTCGAGCGTGCCAGTGAGGACAAATTCCGCAATGTCGGCCTTACTCTCTCTTTCTTCTTTCATGCTCCGGTCGACTGTCGACGAGCTGGTGATGCGATTAGGTGCATCAAACATTCACAGACGTATAAAAGGACACCCCGGACAGAGGACCGGAGTGTAGAGTGGAGTTTGTGACGATGGAGACATCGCGACGAGCCAATAGATATCTTCCGATGCTTGCGAAAAACTTGCAAAGGACGTATTTGGCAGCCACTTCGCCTCGACCGGCCAAACACACCTAAAGCTTAAAGATGGCAACTAATAACGCCGAGGGGTGTCTCTGCCTGGCCAGAGAATCGGCATGAAAATATGTTGTTCTTCGCCGCGCTGATGGAAAATCGACGGGCTGTTTTGAACTGTTCAAAAATTTATTGATAAGTATGATTCTGGATAGTCCTTCTTTCCTTGGAATATTCTTGGAGTGCCTTCCGTCACAGATGTATATTTTTATTTTACCTAAAAACACATTTAAGGATTTATGTCAGTGTTTCATGAGTTTTGGCACAGGCAAGTGACATTGTTGAAACTTTCAAATAACGAAGCTTCACAGGAGAAATCTCACTTTTCTTGTTAAGACTGACTCATATGGCTCCCCTAAAGAGGACATGAGAACAGAAACCGCCTGCAATAGGAGTGGTGTTGAGCAAACCTCCAGCAAAATTAGGGTTAGGTTAAGGATTAGGTTTAAGGCTAGATTATAACGTTAACGACAAGATAATTCAGGATCGAGTTGGGGTTAAGGCAAGGGCTAGCGTAACTGCAGAGTTAAGGTTTAGGGTAGGATCAGGGTAAAGATTAGGATAACGGTTCAGTCTAATACCAGGGTTTTTGTTGGGGTCAGGAAACGGGAATATTCGCTCTTTCCGGAATTGTTATGGAGAGTGCAGGCGGCGTAGAGCCAAGGCCTAGGGCGCTGAACAGGGGACCATGTCGGCGGCGTGAGACATGCGCGACGTTAGACGGCCGACCGGCATGCACTGCAGCGCGCCGAACACGTGTGGTGCCTTTGCCCACGTGTGCGGCCCAATCAATGGCTGGTCGAACATTCCAGACGTTTCCGCGGGGGGGGGGGGCTATCGCGCACGCGGTGACCAATCAGCGACCAGCACGCTGGGGACAGGAACATTCTAAAAGGCCCTCAGCGGCTGGCACGTCATTGGACGGAATGTTCCAGAACGCACAGGGGCCGATATAAATAGCGCATCTTGCTGACGAGTTGTAACCCCTCGTGTCTGCAAGTTGCCAATAAGGGGCTTTCCCTCCGAACCGGCAATCTTCCTGTCTTACCTTTTTTCCGGGTCATAACAGGAATAATGCGCAGGTCCGCCTTTATTACTTGAGCAGGACGTTTCTATTCCCGTGTCCTATTTAGGGGGCCATATAAGTCAGTCTTACTCTTTTTTCAAATAGTCTGTTCCAAAGGAACGAGATATAATATAAGAAATGATCGTTCCGTAATTAAAATTAATCATACCTGGAGGTTAAAGACAGACATCATGCAAAAATAGTTGCCAACAGAAGATGAAACAGGCGTTTCCGAACTGATAGACGTCAACGGTAAGCCGTGTCAAAAGCCCTTGCCCTACAAGGGATCTGCAGTAGATGCGCTAGGCCAATATGGAGGCCAGATGTGGGCACAACAGGCGTTATTGAGGATGCGCGTCCACAAAAAATGTCACACGCGAGGCTGTGGTGGCACGCCTGGGCGCAGGCTCACACCGCGCCATTCATCTGCGCCTGATCACTTTCTGGTCTGCCTGACTCTGTCTTGACACCGGGCCCCGGTAGCAGAGGGACTAAGGAGCGCGGTTGGTGTCGCGAAAGTGTCTACTGTCAACATAAAATAATTCACGTGCAAGTCACCGTCCTCTTGCGCCCATATCGTCAAAATCTACTGTCAAACTAACGTATCGAAAGTCCAGACGGACAAAGCCCGAGGTTTGAAAGCGGCTCTAGCTTGCCCCTGAGAAGACGATTTACCACTGTAGCAGGGGCTCTCGCTTTCGACTGCGATCAGGAATACTCAAAGTTGCCTGGTCGTTTGCCTCTAAGCGATCACCTATGAGTACTCTGCGTCAGAGCTCCACGACAACACAGGACATATCGGTGAACAACACTCCCAGTTGGTGTTGCGGAGAAAGTACAAGTTCAGAGATGATTTCTCGTGAACTCAACAGGCTGTCAAGGAAATTTTTCGTCAAAAACCATCATTTCACGATGAGTGAGTTAACTTGGGAGTTCGGTCTGCGCTTACCACTATTGCAACTCAACTCAGCTTCAGAATGTACCGTACCCTAAGTGCTTTTTCGCGACCCTGAGTTGAAGGAGTCAGTATTCAGATGGGTGGGAGAGTTGAGTCGGACATGTTGTGAGGGTAGAGGCTGGCACATTCGCAGTACGCCTAGATTACAACGCCTATCTTGCGCTGATTCAAAGCAAAAAGGATATTTTACAAGGTCCGAGACTTGAGGCTTGGTCCACAGAAAGTTGGATGTTGAGGAGTCTACGTTTGGCGAAAGGTAGGCCTCCACAACAGTTGCATTGGGAAAGTCTAAAAAAGGAAGGAAACGCTTAAAGATTTAAAAGCAGGATGTAGAAAAGTGTATTGTCTCCTCAATCGCCGACCACAGATTCTAGTCGATTGCACTGCTTCTACTTCAGACAGGATCATGGTGGTTTAGGCTATCAGTTGTCGGCTCCTGAGAGAAGCAATTTATGACCTTGGGACACCCAAAAATACTTTCGCTATAGTAATCATGCGGTCCCGCTGCTGGTGGTCCCATACTGTACCACTTTGGTTCCCTTGCAACTCTAATGCTTTGTCGGCATAAGAAGGCCTCCCATATCCAAGCATGCAATGGCTGGTTTTCCCCTCCTCCTCCCCAAGATATCAGATTTCATGTTTACGAATCAACAGAATGGTCACGGTCCAGATGCATTGATGTGGCAAACGCTAGGAGTTAAGAGTAAAGACCGGGGAAATTGCATTTTGATGAAGATGCAGTACTTTAGCAAAAGTTGGTTTTATAGCGACCACTTCGTTATGTTTTATTTTACAGTCTTTTTTAAAAGTTATTCCATTCGCAATCCATTTTTACAGTTTGTCACTATTCCCTTTTTTTGGAATCGAAAATTACTAACCTTAAGGTCAGTTTCCGTCTCGATTGCGTTAAAAAGCCTGTGTGACCAGTCTATAGCGGAATCCTCCTCGCCCCTTGCCTTTTATGTCTACGAGCGTCCGTAACAGCGAGGGGTACACGGAAGTGGTACGACTTGAGAGTTAGCGAGGGACCGGGCTATCGATCACTGTTACTCGGTAAGCCAAATAAACGGATCCCATCTTCCGGACGTCCCCTCCTATCACCGAAAGTGCACAACAGATCGTAATACGAGGCAAACCTTCAAAAAGAGACCATAAAGTTCTTACCATTGGGCAGGCTGATACAACGCCATCTAAACTTTGAAGGGGATGACTTGCTGGAGAGACTTGGCATTTGCTCGGCGTTCATGACTGTAGTACTAAAGAAGAAAAGAAATTAAGAAGTTTGCATTGCGCCAGGTGTCCATCTCTGGAGAAGGCCTAGTATAGAGTTTTAATCACAGCAAACCGGTATGTGCCTTTTCTCCCCGTGCCATCGCTGATGACGGGGTGAAAGCGCTTTACAAAGACGTACTATACACTAGTACGGCTGAGGTTGGCGTTCTTAAACATCCATGCTAGCTAAAACAAGGGTCCACTCCCCCAGTACCTAGCGCACATGCCATTGGGATAATTGAGAAAGGAGAAACGGGGACTCTTGAAGAACGCTTGAAGTCCTCAGTATCAAGACGGCACGAGGTTGCAGTAAGTTGCTGCGAAAACAGTTATTCGGATGAACATCCAAAGAACCACAATATAAACGGGAGATTCACGAGTAGCTCACGTGGAAATAGAAAGGAAATGCGGAAAAAACGCTTGTAAAGGCTGCAAAATGGTCTTCTACCAATTATAGCGGTCATTGCCTGAATGACTGCAACTAGCTAAAAAATAGGCCACTGTTACGATGCCACCTATGGTAAATGCGGAAATGGAGTAAATACAAATTAACACGTACTTTCAAAATGATTAAGCCCCCATTACATCCATAACCCGAACTGGAGCGTACAGGTCGCGATGTTCAAATTTCAAAAGATTGATTATCTAAAAATATGAAGTTCAGAAGGCTGAAAATTCTCGTCCTGGGGCGGAGCCGAAATTACAACTTCTTGAGTTCTACTCGAGTGATACGCCGCCTGCGTCACCAAGGCGCAGTCGCTGGCTTCGAGAAATATACCTTCTTATTTTCAACTCACAATGGCGAGCTCAATGTCGCTCGAAGATCTCTGCATCGTATAAGTGCAACTGAGATCATGCAGTCTTAGATGATCAGGCTTTAAACCAGTAGCGCATTAGCCTATTAAATCCGCCAAGAAGTTCCATGGTCTAAAATATGCGAAATTTCGCCTTCATTCTAAAATAAGCTCCCAGTGGTGGGAAAGCTTGGCAAGAATAACACCCAAGCATAGAGAGCAAGAAAAAGGATGAGCGAAAACTTACCGAAAGTTTGCTAGTGGCTCTATCACGGAGTTGACATGGCGTTTGAGTGTTAACTCCGAGATACAACCGGAAGGCAATTCGCTCGGCTTCTCAGCAAACTCGGCGAGAATTTCCATTGCTTTTACAGTACCGATCTTGGGCACACCTGTTGTGTAGTCGCTGCCGCACAGCAGCGCGATGCGCAAGAGCTGTGCTCGATCAAGGCCTGCGAAAAATTAGATTGCCAAATTAGTGAGACACTGCTTAAAACGGCTTGATCGCAGTTGGCAGCCAGGAATGGGGAAGCGGACGGCGACCTTAACCCTAACCTCAACCTTAAACGTTAACCGTTAACCCTAAGGGCAACACTAATCCTAACCCTAACTGAAATCGTAAACGTAGCCCTTAGACATAGCCGTAACTGAGAAACCTAACCGTAATACTGAAACCTATTCCTACGCTCAAACCCTAACCGTAAACCGAAAACATACGCCTAAAAGCATAACCCTAACCCGAAAATCCGAAACCATTAAGCGGTACCCTAATCCTCATCTCAAACGTAAAACGGAAGCCAAATGGGTCAGATGCGATTATGGAGCCCCATAAAATAGCCCCAGTAAACAAACCCCCAGCCACCTGTAATACGGCGCCTGGCTACCAACTGCGATCTAGCCCTTAAAACGCTTAAGCTAGTTTGAATGAAGCTTAAAGGGGAAGGATGTGAAAAGAATGCAAAGAACAAAAGGCGTGACAATGCGTCTACCCACCCAACCGCCTATGAATGTCTTCTACAGAGTAAGATGCAGTGAAACTGCCCCTTGGGGTCCCAAAGAGATGTCGCAGGACAAGACGAGCGCCGAAGAGCCAGACGTCGGAATCGTCGCTGGCTACAACATCCACCAGACCCAGCTGCTGGAGCCGGCAGCATTGAGCTTCTGCCTCTTCTGGACTGACGATGAAGGGCAAGCCGAAGAGGAGCAGAAGTCTCTTGAATGGGGAAAAAATCACGGTAGTCATAAACATACACAGGCAAAAAAAGACGTGACAGACGAATGTAAAGTTTCCATCCGGTCTGGACCGAATGCCACCACTCACCTGCGCCTCAGCGATAACATCATTTGAAGTCTGTTGTGCCAGACGCTCCAACCGGTCAGCCTCGGCGCGAAGGAAATCGTCGTCAAGCTCGAAATCATCTTCTTCCCCTGACCCGACGAGTATTTCCGAGGAAGAGGTCTTAGAAACGTTCGTGACGTTTTGAGAGTTCACAGTGACTTCCTCTTCATCGGTTACCGCCACTTCCTCCAAATCGTATTCACTATTGTCAGACTCTGTATCCTGAAGGTCACGGTTAGAGGGACACTCTTGCGATGAGTTCAGAAGAATAGTGGTATTAGGGGGGGACGAAGAGGTTGCCACTTCGTCCACGTCAATAAAGTCAATTTCGTCCTCTTCAGAACTGGAGGTTTCCGGTTCGGAGATCCTGTCACCACTAGTCAGATCTACCTGGGGCACGTTCCCGGCTGGAATCTGTAGGTCTTGTGATTTTTGGGAAGGGGTTTCAGTAGTACTGTCTACACCGACGTTCAATTTAAGAGGGGATGAATTGGAGTTGTGAACCGTGTGGGGCATCACTTCCGCGAAAAATGCAGGTATAGGAGAACGCTCCTCCACAGCTTTAACAGGCGAGGTTACTTGATGAACGGCTTCAGACGACAAAGAATGCGATTTACGATGGTGTTCAGAATCTACACTTACATCTTCCGTGCTGCGAAATGAAAACTGTAATTCAACCGGCTCTTCAGAGGGGCTGCCTTCCCGAGTCGAATTGATACGATGCTCAGTATCTACTGGAACAGAATCTGATGTTACTTCGATATCGGACGAAGTCTCCGACCGAGGCGGGGTGATGAGTCTGAAAGAAGAAGTAAGGCAACGTAAAAAGTTGAAAACAAAAAAAAAACGTGAAGACCGCCCAACAAACTCAACAAGAATTTATATTGCCTTTAAAAGGTCGATCTTTGGGCGCAACTGTTATACACTGATCCTAAGGTCGACAGTTGCTATCCTGTTAACACAATTCACAGCCCTAAACTCGACACCTGCAGCCAGACCAACCGGAAAGTGAATTGTCTCTTTATGCATACATTTTGCACTTAATGCGGATCAGGCGGTACAGCGAATTCTCAAATCGACTGGTGGTGTCGCATCTGCTGCGCCGTAATTATATATAGCAAAGCTGGAGATACTAAAAATTCAAGTGACAACTATCAGATGGGCGAGCTGAACTATGGGCTGGCATGTTGGTCGCAATCCAAAGAAACAGGCCGACCAACATAACGTTTTTCTCAGAATGAGCCGAATACCGAAAACCCGAACCATCCGAGATTTTGACACCTTTTTGGAGGACACAACGTTTGCCAATTCTTTCCATAGAGCGGAGTCGTTACTATGAGACTGCAATAGGTATGTATATGATCATACCTAATCTAGCCTGTTTCGATGCTGCCGCGGGTTGTACCTCCAGGTGTGGCGATATGAAATGGACTTCAAGAGTACGACCCACTGTCTGGCTGAATACCAAAGGTTGAAGAACGGTCTTGACGTCCAGGCGCGTTATCTTGAGCCAGATGATCACGTGATCGATAAGCGGTCGCGTGAGAACATTTGGTGGCCTAACAGCTCTACACTGTTAAACAAAATAACTGCTGCATTGCTCAGAGGGCTGCCCTATACTATGCCTGGGACGCTGATATCAGCTGGATTGCCTGAGCTACGGTCGGTGATCGATCACACGAAATGTTGACCGAAATTCTGGAAGAAGAAGAAGAAGAAGAAGAAGAAGAAGAAGAAGAAGAAGAAGAAGAGGAAGAAGAGGAAGGAGGAGGAAGGAGAAGAGGAAGAGAAAGAACAAATGAACACAAGGATATCCTTCTGCATCTTATGAGATGTTAGCTGACTGCATGTTTAACTTATCACTGGTTTCACCTTTTGGTCCAACTTACTCGCATTTTGTTTTCTATGGGGTGTTTGGCTTCCTCCGCGTTTTATGTACGCATATGTAAACCGAGTGTCAGGCAGAATTTGTTGATTTTTTTTGTTTGCATTTTGTTCTACAGTAGTGTCTTAAGTCAATTTATTCTGATTTCAGGATGAAAATATGCATTTTCCATTTGGCTATGAAGTCGAAGGTCTACGGCCCACGGACGCGGTCGTTTGATGACTAACAACCAATACTGGAGTTTTTGTCGACCAAGACGACGAAATCGGAATGCCTTAGTCGACGTGACTCGCCTTTGATGTCTCAACCAAAGACTGCACACCCGGGATCTGAACCAAAGCTGATCGACGAGCAACATCCTCACTACTGTAGCTCGGACTCACATCAGACAGGCTGGGGTCGGGAAAATTTGGTCACACGGGAGTGGCGTGCACCGACCGATCGCGCTTTCAGGTCGGAAGTGGATGTTTTAGTTCAGCGTTAGACTCGAGTGTCTACAGTATTCTCATGACAACTAGTAATCAATGCTGTTCTTACCGATAATGCCGTGTAAGTTTGGCTCAATGATAAAATGACCTAGTTGAAACCTCAGGTGCGATGCATGGTACTTCAGTAATAATGGTTTATGAATATTGAATTTACAGATACGGTTGCCCACAACTCAAGGACTGAATTGAACTGAAAAGGACTAGCCTGCTTCACCACGCCAGATGTGGATACAGGGTTAAACTCCCCGGAACTTCCAGGACACCGTCATCGTTCGCTTTTACCGGCGAACCGGCAACTCTTTGATAGCCACAGAGACCTGTATCCAGAACCTACGACTAGCGGATGACAGTGCGGAATCTTTCTAAACATAAAACGGAGTTTGTAAACGGTTGTCGTTCTGACAATGCCCCTCTATGAAGGGGAGACATGGACAGTCTAAGAAAATCAAGCAAGGAAGCGAAAAATTTTTTTACCTTAGCTACTTCTGTGGAATAACAAAGGCGACTGGCAGGAAAGGATATCAGACGCAGAGTTCCTGGAAGAAGTCGGCGTCCCTAGCATCCACGTCATGTTAAGCAGATGCAACTGAGATGAAGCGGCCGCATCTTGAGGATGGTTGACAGGCGCTTGCCCGAGCGGCTATTTTATGGTGGTATCGTTTGGTGTGCCAGAAAACAAGACGAGTAAAAGCGTCGACATTCTAAATGGCTCTCTCTCTCTCTCTCTCTCTCTTTCTAATACATAGCAATTAGTCCTGAGACCTAGGAAGGCCTTGCAAATTATCGGCGGACATGGCAAACTGCCGTGAGAAGCGGAATAATAATCTTCGAAGCTCATCGCAGACAGTAGCTCAGGCGAAGAGGGTCAACGCTGCAAACAAATAAACGGTGCCACTGTGTCCACATTGTCAGCCGGCATTCAGACCGCGGATTGGACTCGTTGAAAATCTCCGAAAAATTGACATCAACATCGTCAGTGATGAGTCCTGTCATTCTGACCACTATTACAACCATCGCCCCTTGCAGTAGGCATGGGGATTCATTTGTGACCTATCTCCACCACCATCACATCTTCCGACCACGGACTTACCTGGTCGGTCACCTGCGAATCCACTATCTGGAGCCCTTACATACGCCTGGCATTCACGTCTGATTTGCGAACACTGCCCTGGGACATTCGGTGATATACGTGTACACGGAAGTGGGATCCACCGCAATGTCACAACGACTAATCCGCCTCCCATGTGACAACTCCTTCACCACTACCGAACCAAGTTGTTCCTACCTCGACCCCGCATTGGCAGCATGCATCGGTCTGCCCGAGACCAGAGGAACGATGTCCAGGGTGCCAAAATACACCTGTCATCCACGTGTCACCAGTCCACTCTGTTCCAGGACACTTTGTCGTCGTATCGGCCTATTTGGCCAATAAGCATATTCAAAAAAATATTCAGTAAAACAGTCCTCGCCCCACCTGCACACGCAAGCATCCCCAGGCCACACACGAATCTACCCCACTTATCAGCAACACTCGTCCAGCATGCATGTGATATTTTACAGCGCCGGCATGACCGGTGAACTGTCGCGTGCAAGAATGTGCACATACCACTTACGTGGGAGACATGAAACCCAGATATTCTGGCAGGCGTAGACGGCCTAATTTGCAGCCTTCATATCAACACAAAACTCAAGATACACAGGGCGGCAGTCCTAAGGATGCTACTCTACAGGGCGGAAATCTGGACAGTCTACGTCAATCAGGCCAGGAAACTCAACCACTACCATCTTAGCTGCATCCGGAGGGCTAAGGTGGCAGGACAAGATACTGAGGCAGAAGTCTGGGAACTGAAAAGAATCCTCCGCATCCACGGAAGGATGAGGCAACTACAACAGCGCTGGAGCGGTCACTTCGCGCGGATCCATAAGGAGTGTCAACCCAAGTGACTCTTCTACGGCGACATGGCTACGGGTGCTCGCCAAAGAGGGCAAAAGCAACGATCTGCGGATTTACCTCAAAAAACGGATGACCTCATGCAGGACCGATTGGAATGGAAAAGAGCACTGAACCCTGTAGCAACAATCTACGAGGCCGACCGCATCACTACTGTCAGAGCCAAAAAGCGCGCTCGCAAGTCTTAAGTGCCGCGGAACCGAAATCCCTTCCATCGTGCCGATGTTATCAGAGGACATTTCGCGCAGGGATTGGCCTCGTCGAACATTTTCGGACCCAATGGAATACCAACCCGACAACTCCATGTACCGACATTGGAAACGCTCCCATTGTCAGCCCTTAACGCAGACACCATGGCGGCGTACGCCACCACCGGCGAGCAAACTACGAACGCCCTGCCGCCTACTACCACCGCCATCATCAGTGCCCCAACCTCCGCGTCGACGACGACCACAACCACGACCGCCACCACCATTACCAATCCCCACTTCATCCCAACCTGCGCCCACTGCGATCGCACGTTCACATCATACATTGGCCAAATCGGTCATTAAGGAATTCATTGCACTGAGACTGGCGAAACAAGGACAGAAACATTAAAATACCCCCACCACAGAGGCTTCAACGGGCTGCAGTCAATCAGCTACCGCATGTGTCTACTCAGTCATATGCGACTCCATTGAAATATGCAGTAAAACACTGCAGACCAAACTCCATCACCACACCTCGCCAAATCGACCCCTACACCACACATCACCTGTTACACGCAAAAACATGCATCTTTCATGTCAATGGGAAGCATGTTCCGCAGCGTAACCTGGCCCCTGACCAGGTCGTATGTGATACGCGTTGACGGGCTCTTACAGCCTTGTTGGCCACTGCGCTCAACCCCAACATCAGATGACCAACAAGCTCCGACAGTCGACTGGTGAACGGGAGGTGGAAGAGAGGGTGACAGCCAACTCTGAGGACTTCATCTCATATAGCACTTCAACGAATTCCACACAATAATAAATCTGACATGTCTGAATCTATTAAGACACGCTATCAGTCGTGGCTTTGATGGTCGCAAATTGACGGGACATTTTGGTTCTACACTGAACAGTTGCAGTGGCTCTTTACTAATGCGACTTTTATGGCAATCACATTCACGTGAGATCCAAGGCCTCTTGAATGAAGCCTGACACATATAGTTATGAACTAGGCCGTACAAAATGTGTAGATGGTCTGCTTAAAAATCCGGCTCCGATCGCCTTGATTTTGTCCTGCCATCGAATAAAGATGCGCTTTGGAGTAGAGTGAGATTGATGCAACGAAAGTCTGTTTCGCCAAACGCAAACTAACGCGAAAGTCCCCTCCGCGACCAGCTTTAGGAACAGCAGTGGTGTCATTGACTGCGACGGTCAGACTATCGCATACTACGCAGAGTCGATGACTAAGCTTCATCAGTTTGTGCCCGCGGCCTATTTCTAGTCATGGAAAATTTAAAATTCAAGGAGGGGTAATTAGTGTTTTCAACAATTCTGTGGAAACAAAATTTTCCATGGTTAGATGTGGCCTTGAGTCCCACGCGTCATCATATTTACTGCAAATTTGAAGGGAAAATTCAAATTTCCAACTAACGCATACGTCTAAAGATCCTCAATTTAAAAATCCCACTACAGATGCTTAAAATGCTCAAGATATAGTTGTCCTATTCAACAAGAAACGAGAAATTGTACGCTACTGGGTAACTTAAACATGTTATAGGCTCAGTAGGTGAGTCTTACCAGTGAAGCATGTGTACGCGTGAGCCCTGGCTTGGGACTAACTGCTGAAAGCCTGGGTGGGACAAAGGCTGGAGAATAGTAGATTATACGTGCTTGCTATAAATCATGGTTGCTATCCAATCTGGCGGCCTGGATTCAGAGCAAATTTCCGACAATAGCAGACAAATTGCTCGTAAGCTTAATAATCAGGTCGCCTACAAGAGTACAAATCGACCACTTGGCGGTTAAACCCTAACTCTCAACTAGCAACACACGTTGGAGAAACAGGGCATACTTTTGATCTCCACAGGGCTACCATCTTAGGCCTAGGCAACACAAAAGCAGAACGGCTAACTCTCGAGGCGTGGTTCGCCGATGCCCACTCTGCCAACAGGCATCTGGACCTTCCTGCAGCTTACAAAGTCCTACGTCATCACAATCGTAGAGCTCAGGGCCAAACAACCACACCGGACTTAAGAAGGCCGTACGGAGATAGCCTGATGCTGAGTTTACTCGGTGAGGCAGAACAAGAACCGCCAGAGCGACCGCCCGACAGAGGCTCAATCAGCTCCCCCCGACGGAGTGGTGACTCACAAAGCCCACAGGCAAAACGCCCGTCAACCATCTCCCGAGAGGCCGAGACAGCGAGAGGATAGAAACATCGATCAGCATGAGGCCGACCAACATAAAGTGCCACTTGAAATTTCTGATCGATTAAGTGCATTTTACGCTTTGACAATGAAGAGCCGACCCAGCTCTTTGAAACGTCAGCACTTAAAAAAGCCTCTTCCGGAGAGCCTATCTTCTTCTTCTTCTTCAAATACGCACAAAGCCCCCTGATTGAGGTAAAGTTTAGGCAGAGATTCTCGTGCGTCTAGCCCAAGCAATTCGAAGACTGGTTGATACCCGAGCTTTGAAGCACCGGGGCAGGAATACAAGTGCAAATAACAGTGGCAGTTACTGCGCCTTATCGCTGCGCTTTCATTGGCCGAAAATGGCTGACTTTTTGGAAGGGAAAAGTTGCTCTCCAAATACCCATGCTGCTTTTATAACTTAATGTGTCCTAAGGCAGGGACTGGCATACGTGTATGTACAGAAAACTGTATGAAAATTTGGGGGAAAAAGGTACCAACCGTTTAAGGCGTTCTAATGCCGAAACGGCGGAGGGTTTTGAGGAAGATGTTTTTTTCAACAGGATCGCGTGGCCCTGGTCCTGGGAGACGATACGTGCTGCCTGGACCTGAACACCGCTGTCAAGGTCTCTGGCGAAATAAACTCCGACTAGATCAGCTGTTCTGGCGTCGAGGCTCGATACGACCTCATGGAGGGCCTTTTCGTCCAGACGCTGTTTAATTTGGGCCTGTTTGATGGTCAACTTGCGACGGAGCATGAGGCGATTTAATTGGAACGTGGAGAATGCGTTGCTGGTGGAGGACTCGTTCTCCTATTATGGGGGTGACCAAAAGGCAGTAGAAAAAGGGGGCTGCAGGAGACAGAAACACGATGCATGCTTCCTTCAAAATCAGGCGAGCGTCGTTCAGCGACCAGACCTGGTTGCAGGACGGAACACGGAAGTACCGTTTTACCTCGATATAGAACCCGTTTAGACCGCAACCTTTTGCCTCGAGCTGGTAGCCGTGCCAAACACAACGAAACCAGTGTAACCGATGCCTTCTAGTCGAAAGCGCAACGCGTCAGCCAAGCGATGGCGCTAGCAAACGCTCTCCGAGCACCTCAACAGCACACTTACTCGAATCCGGCTCGGTCACGCTGACGCACGTGAGTTGACGGTCGGTCAACGCACTTACCAGGACCTTCCTTTAGGTGTCTATTCAACTCCTAAGGGACACTTGGCCCTAGGTTAGGATGATTTCAGCACCTAGGTCGCCACACCCTCATTGAGCAGTCGCATAACGAGGAGCGAACGAAAATTGAGAAAAATCGGTGACGCTTAGACCTCCTTATTGCATGGTCTAAAGATGGAGCAAAATATCTGAGAAATTCAGAAGAAAGTTATTTATTTGGTTATATTTCGGAGGACGTAGCCTCTTTGCTCGCGTCATTGCAAGCAGTCAATATGGGAATACAGTAACTCCTTGCTACATCGCGCATCGACTTTCGCGGCCTTCATAAACAAGCATATCTTGATATAGGTATATCACAGATATTTCGTTGCTTCGCGGAGTTAAGCGGACACTGCGTCTTTTCGTTCTTCTTCAGTTGGTTTGCCTTGGTGATCTTGTAAATGGGACGCTACTGGTGGATAGCCGGGAAACTACTCGATCAGAACACGCGGTCAAGTATCCTAATTTCAACGAATCTTACCTAGTATCGAAGAGTACAAAGGGTTTATGATGCTACTATAGAGTGATTCCTACCTTCACCTTTTGCTCATATCTCAGCACACCCTTCAAAATGTTATTACGAGAGTTTTATACTGAAGAGGTGCACAGTGAAGAAGCGACGTCATGATATCGCCCCCGGACGTAGCCTCCTAATCGAGGAAAAATATTGTCGCAAGTGCGATGGGCCGGTGATGTTCACGAAGAAGATCCGTGGACGGAATGTGCCGGTATGGAGGCACAGCAGAAAGGGTTGCCAGTCTGCTCGATCAGTATGAAAGGAGAACGAATTCTTCCATTATTGTGATTTGAACGGAAGACCTCACTGTATTCTGGTGCTAGTTTGTGTCTGAAGCAACAGAATTCAATTGGAAGAATTACCAAAGCATACTGGTAGATATTGCGGTTGATTGGTTCAGTTACTGGCGGGAAGTCTACTCCAAAGTGGTATCTTTCGCTAGGAGAGGAAATCTAAATGAAACACTGCAAAACCCAATAGAAACCGACGGGGCCAGATTTGAGGGGCGCCGTAAGCACAATTAAAGCAGTCTTTAAGGTGATGCGCCTTCGTTGAACGGAGCCGAAGGCAACAAAGGAAGCGGAATGAAGAACATAGTCAGCCAAAATCGTGGCGGAGCATTCCATACGTGAAAAGGGTCTCCGAAGCCGTAGCTAGATCCCTCACGCCGCTCGGAATAGGCGTTGCCCACAGGCCCGACTCAACAATCCGCTGGCAAGTGATGCGGCCAAAAGACCCGATCCCTAAGCAGATATCTGCTGTTGTCTACCGACTTCAGTGCAGCTGCGGGAAGTGCAACCACGTTGGGGAAACCGGCCGACAGCTGCAAACGCGAATGCACGAGCATAAGTTGGCCGTGCGAAGGTTGGGCCCAAAGTCGGAGGTAGCAATCCATGCCGCGCAAATGAGACGCATCTTCAACTTTGAGGCCGTTGAGATTGTGGGCTGGGGTGATGCTCATACGGCAAGGCAGATGCAAGAAGCCTGGATGTCCACCGACTGCTCTGTCAACCGCCACATAAATTTGCCTCCCCCCGCCCTACTTGACTTTACGAACCTTATTTACGGGGGACAGTCAAGGCGCGGGACAATCGGGGCCATCAACTATCTCCGCGGCTGACGAGGGCGGGGTGACTCAAGTCACGGTGACATGCGGGTCGGATGCAGCCACACAGGCGGCATTGGCGGGCCACACATCAAACAAAGTGCGCCATATAAGGAGAGCTGTGCGCATGACTTCCCAGTCTCTGAAGATGGGTGGACGAAGCAACTACTCGAAACGTCAGACCTCTAATAAACTCCTCCCGGTGAACGCCTCCTCTTCTTTTGAGCTGTGAGAAAGTTATAGAAATGCGGATAGGTTTATAGGAGCTTAAAATATACAAAAATAACCACAAAAACCATGGTTTTTACGTCGCGGACTTTCATTTTTCGCGAGGGTTCTGGAACGTAATTACCGGGGTTAAGGAGGGATCACTACAATTCAGTAGTTAGTCAATTAAGAGGAGTGGAATGGGGAACTGACTTCGTAGCGCGACCCAAGTTTTCGAAGCGTCTTAATCACCAGTTACAACCGACCTTTATCAGTCCGGCGGGCAAAACGAAATTTCGTCAAAAAGTGTAGGAATAGACTGCGAGAGAAAGTAGTGCAAGAATAATATTCTAACGATAGGGCAAAGGAAAAGGCAGGCAAAAACAGATCCCATAGCGAGATTATCCGCAGTCTCTGGTCAATCACACGCAAACTTCTAGCCCGGAAGTCGCGTGAGTTAAACCTCAGTTCAGTTCGAATAATGTATAATGTTATGGCTTAACGTAGGCGATGTTAGGGGGTCAGTGGCCCAAGGCGAGGGACCGGAATGTCCTCAGATCCATGGCCGAGAATGACCTGACACAAAGTCCGTAAAAAACAGCAACTTTGGGTTTTTTTTAGAAACATTAGAGCAATCTTATCATAGTCTACCCGTACGAGTGAGACATGAAAGGAGGAGAGAGGAGAGAGGATTTACCGAATGCATAATAGACAACTGCGATATGCACTTACTGTTTCTATGACCTTCTGACATGCCACATTTCTTGAGCTCAGATGCCTTTGCAGAATAAGGAGCACGTGTACCTGGGCAGAAGTTGGTAGAGCCGCGAATGCCTCAGACTCAAGGTCTATGTCCTCAAAACTTGGAAGTCCGTCCTACAGGATGGGGATATAGAAAGGAGTTGGCTTTGAGGAGGTTAATGGAAAGAGCAGAAATACTGCAAGCACCCAGCAACCAGAACAAAAAAACAGAAGAGGTGAAGGAGATTACGAGGGAGGGACGAATATTGGGGGGCTGGGTGAAAGCGGTAGACCGAAAAATCGGAAAACTACAAGATTCTACAGTAAAAGGCGGCGAGAAAAGGGAGCTAAGGACGCGGTGCAAATAGGAGATATCGAAGGAAAAAGTTAAAAAACAGGGCGGATAAGCAAGAGGAAGTGGGCATACATCATGGGCAACGTGACAGATAAGAAAACCTGGAGAACAAAAGCGTGGAGAGAAAACATGTAAACAAAAGTTTATAAATGAGCAGTGATGGTGAAATGCTAGAGAATAAATAGAAAGTACTTGGGGGCGAGACAAGGAGAGAATAGAGGGTGGAAGGGATGAGGTAGATTCAGCGAATATAAACGAAACTTGTAAAACTTAACATAAAGCCCGACTCACAAGAAAGTCACGAGCAAGGTTGGCTGAGGATTCTTGCTCTTCCTCAAGGGCTTTAATGGCTCCACTTCTGGGCAGAAAATATTCCCTATTCAGAAAAAGCAGATAGAAGAAGGAACATTAAATAGTGCTTTTTCCCAATCTTCATGCTTACTGGCGATAAATACTAAAACCACACGACAGTCACCGCTGCTTTGTGTGAAGAGTGGCCAACCGCGTATCTTACGGTGGTCGAATTCCCAGGCTGAGATATTTGGACCTTCGTCACAAAACATACGCTCATGGTCTCCGGCAGGAAGTCAGCTTAGGAAGAATTTGAGAGTGAAAAGATTCCACTTGCATCAACAGAAGGCAAATATTCTATGTCTGGCACAAATACTCGCGAAGTGGAAATCAACATTTCAGAACACAGATTGAAAAAGTTTCAAGAACACTCCCCCAAGTGGCAATTTAAGCCTCAAAAACTAGAAGCAAAAGTGCTCTTATCTTGATCTCTTTACCTGCGTTAATAGTCTACTTTCGGGAAAAAATGATCACGTCGCAGAAAGAGCTCTAGATTTCAAAAAGAACATGAATAGCAATACTGCCGGCCGAAAGATAACTTAGGGAGCACCAGTGCAGAGTACTAAAAGTCATGGGTGAAATGATAAAGGTGAATATACCCCCATTTAAATAGAAAAGGCACGCCTCCCTAAAGGTTGACAAAGACCTCCCCCATAAGAACAAATGGGTTCCAAAGGAAAACAGGCAATAAATCAAATTAACAGTGTAATCGCGAAGCTCCATGCATATATGAGGTCTAGGGAGCGCTAGGGTACACTACATATTCCACACAAAAATGGCGACTGCAACAACCGCAATAACTGTCCCTAAACTTTCATCAGCACCTCAAAGAAGCTGGGCTCTGTTTAGCGGCCACATCCCGTCAAAAGCCTCAACCAAGGGGCAGCTGCAGGAGAACTGTTAGAAGACGCGGATCCACCACTACTCTACCTTTGTGGATCAGACGAAAGCCGTCCACGCAGTGAATCGCAAAATACTATAGAAAATCATGCAGAAATTCGGCTGTCCCGAACGATTCACTCACATGGTGCGTCAGCTCCACGATGGCAAGACGGCGCGCGTCACGGACAATGGAGCCGTCTCAGAGGCATTAGCAGACACCAACAGAGTGGAGCAAGGCTGCGCCCTCGCGCCTACCCTCTTCAGTCTCATGTTCCCTGCCATGCTAACGGACGTCTGCCGTAATGAACGTCCCGAGATCCGCGTCGCCTACAGGACGGACGGCCAACTCCTCAACCGCCGGCGACTGCATTTCCGCTCGTCTACATCCACAACTACCGTCCATGAACTTCTCTTTGCTGACGACTCAACGCAACCTCTGAAGGGGACATGGAAAGGAGCATGGAACTCTTCGCTGTCGCCCGCGACAAATTCGGCCTGGCCCCGCATCGCATTCGCCTACACTGCCCCTACTGTCTCCGCACATTCCGCCACCGCATGGGCCTATTAGGTCACATGCGCATTCATGGACACCTGCGGTTGACAACCGCCGGCTACACCACACCACCCCTCACCAGCAGCTGCACCATAACGTCACCCATCGCAAGCACTCGATTGCCACCTACCACGCAAGTGGGAAGTGTGCTTCCCGACTCCTTCACCATGCGGCTCCTCTGCTGCATGTGCGATCCGAGTCTGAGACTACCACGGTGAGCCAAGCGCCGTGGCTTGGAAGGTTGCCGACGGACGCTTTAACTCAGTCCACGCAGTCTGCTCAGTTGTGTGTTGTGTGGAGGGGCGAACCGGTGGGCTGAGAGCCAGGCCGTCACGGCTTCTTCTTCTTCTTCTTCTTCTTCTTCTTCTTCTTTTCTTCTTCTTCTTCTTCTTCTTCTTCTTAACATGACCTCTGGCACTCTCACACATGTGAGGTGTGTGTACTTTATGGGTAGTGCCTCTCAGTCGATGACCGAGTGGTTGCCCAGCCTTTGAAGGGTGAAGGCCTAAGCTAAATGTAGGCTGCGGATCACTCTTCTGGGCCTCATGGTATGTAAGAATCTTCTATATCATGATCAAAAAACCTTGGCTCTCGCAGCCTGGTGCGGGCTGGCAGTTTTCCCTGTCGGTAGATGCGCTTGCGTTCCTACTGCGTATACGGGTCACGTGCATGGCTCCCCAGTCTTTCTAAGCCGTTGTGGTGCTGTTGCTGGTTAAAATTCTGGTCAAGTGTTTGTTATGGACCAGGGGATGTAGTGGTACGCCTAGGTGCGAGTCCGGCCGTGCCAGCCACCTGCGCCCTCTCCCGCCTCCGGTCTTCTTGACAATGTCTTGACACCGGGTCCAGGCGGTGAGGGGGGGGGGTGTAGTGGATGCTGCTAAAGTCTACTCTCACCATGAACTAATTCACGCGCAAGTCACCGTGCCTGGTTCACCTTGCTGTGGAGTACACGGTGGACATCGTCGAGCACGACGGTCGAACTGTCGTGGCATGCACAGAAGGACCGTTTAGCTTTCCCAGGCACTGCGCCCAAGCCCGCTTCCGGTCGTCCTGAATCTGTATTGCCACCCAGCCCAGACGAATGAGAGCGGAGTGCGACAGATGCTGCACAAGTCTGCTACCCCTATAAGACAATTCACACGCGAGTCACAGTTCTGCGCCCGTTATGCTGCGGCGGCACACGGTGAACATCATCGTTCGCGATAGTCGAACTGTCGCGTCTACACAAGACTGCCAGATTAAATGGGGTCAAAATCATTACTACAGTTGCTGGTATAATAGCTACCATTGTCTGTTTCAGTGAAACATATTGTCATAGCGTTTGAGCCAGAAATTTTATAAGGACGTACTGACAAATGTCAAAAACTTTATCATATCGAGTCCCTAAATAGCCAGATCGCAAGTACAGTGCGTGACTGATCTCATGAAATGTTGGTCAAAATTCTGGAATGCGTTTCTCATTAGGAAGGATTACTTAAGTGGGGTTGTTATACTGATTGTCATGCAGCATAACCCTATAACATTTCGGACTCGCCTAGGTGTCGACTTTTGAATGCACTTCTTTTTGACCCCCTGCAGAAACCATACTCGGTAAAAAATGACTACTTATGTAGCACGGATTTTTCCTATTGATTTTCAATGGTCTTCTAAATTCAAATATATTTTACAGAAAAAGTGTGTATTTAGGAAACCATGTGTATTCAGAAACCATACTTGGTAAAAAATGACTACTTACGTAGCACGGATTTTTCCTATTGATTTCCAATAGTCTTCTAAATTCAAATATATTTTATAGAAAAAGTGTGTATTTAGGATTTAAAAAAGTTTCCAAATTTCCCGAATACTTTTCAGCCTGATCTGCCATTGCACCAGCGTTTAGCAATTTTCGTCTACAAGATGCACGCTTTCCGCGTAAGGAAAATCATATATTCCTCTAGGCCTCTAAGAAGATACCACATAGAGTTCATGAAATGTTGCAATGGATCTGGGCTGTGTTGTACGTTTCATGAGGGGCATCATTAAATGGACATGTGCGGTCTTGCATGCATGGACATCGCACGGTCTTAAAAATCTCATTAGTAAAAACTTTTTAGAACCCAAATATTCACTTTCTCTGGAAATAAAATACGAACACAATGTGATTTCCTACCCAATGAGCAAAAGAAGACATATTTTTGTGCACGTTTTCTATAAAATATATTTGAATTTATAAGACTATCGAAAATCAAAAAAATGCATGCTACTTAAGTAGCCTTTTTTTACCGAGTATGGTTTCTACAGGACGTCAAAAAGAAGTGCCGACACCCTGGCGAGTCCGAAATTTTATAGTTTTATGCTGCATGATAAGAAGTATAAGAATCCCACTTAAGTAATCCTTCCTAATGGGAAACACATTCCAGAATTTTGGCCAACATTTCATGAGATCAGTCACGCACTGTAAGTGTGTAATGGAGTGTCTAGAGCACAGAAATTATTGCCAAATAGCGCGTTTCTAATTTATTAAGGTAAACACTGTTGGTAGAAAATGGACCAACGTGACGCGAAACCAGGCTGAGAAGAGACCTACGAGCTGGAGAGGCCGAACATGGCTTGGTCGATTTCGGCACGCCGAGCATCTTCACCGCTTTTCAGTCGCTGAAGGAGTTCTGCTGACAGATCTATAATGGCGAGGGACGAGGAGAGCGGATGTTACTGCATGGACGGTGCCGCAGGCATCTAATGAAAGTGAGTGTAAAGTGGATCAGGTAAAAAAGCAAATAAACCTTTCGTGGATTTCCTGTCAGTTTCAGCTTTCGCCATACGACGGAGAATCCTATTTAGAAGCCGCCTGCGGGCAAGGTCGGATTTGGTTTGCAAATTTCGTCGAGATGCACGTCGAACAGCCTGAGTGTAGAAGACAGGAAAGCAAAAAGGGGGAGGCTGACCTAAAACTGTGTGCGAGAGGGTCCAAATTCCAGTTGCAGACAGAATAACCCTGGTTGAAAAACGTGCCAGCTAGTCGGTGTAAACCACAACGGCGACTTTTGACACTTTGAAAATCAAATAAATACGGCTACGACTGAAATACAATATCAAGAACGTTTTGAAGAGAAGACAACTGAAGAACTCCGTTTAAAAAATGACAAGGGTTAGTAAAACGTGGAGGAAATGAAAAGGCACCCAAAGAATAAAATATGGAGCAGAGTAGGGAGGAGAGCCTCATATGGGCGGTCCCAAACATGGGACGGGGCAAAAACTAAGTGCACGACTTCAAGTAGGTAGTACTAAGTAGAACAATTATGTATAAAGGCTTAGCATGCATTCCGCGAAAGACGGCGCACCATTGTTACAGTATTACATATCAAAAATCGCCTACAATGTCCGTAAATCAGCAGATGTGATGACCGTCCCCAAGAGACTGTGATCTCAAGTCAGTGCGAAAGACGTGATAAAACACGAGGGGGCAAACGTATGTAGGCAAACAGACCCACAACCCGATATGGGGACACAGTAAAAAAAAGGAAGCGATCATCTGCGACTCAACGAAGCTAGGCTCTGCTTAGCGGCCACATCCCACCAAAAGCCTCGACCAACGGACTAAACCACATGAGGGCATCCAGTGGTGTGTCTGCCCACAAACCCAGTAATCCTATTGCCTGGCACATTCCCCTCTCACCCCCCCCCCTCAGTGCTTAAAAAGCCCTATGAGGAGGGCGAAATGCAATCCCATAAGTGACCCACGCTAACTAGGATCACATTCCTTCTAAAAAAAGTCATGACCCATAATAAAATTCGACAGATACGTGGGATTATTAAGCAGCCCTATCTAGCAGTACTGCTGTTTACTTCCTCGCGGGGAAATAGGTTAGAAAATGTGCCCTGAAAAAATGCTGGATAATCACGCCGTCTGCAGGCTGGCCGTGGCACGTAGACCGTGAACTCACGTCCGCAACACAGTGCGAAAGCATACCTTCCATTTCCACCCCACCCTACAGGCTGCTAGTGACTCCGCTCACTCTGTCAACCTGGAATGGTCACTGTGTTTTAGACAACCGACCAGAAAGGAGGGCAAACGCTAGTCGCTTGAAAACTGGCATGCTACAAATTGAACATTAAAGCTCCCAGTGAGACCTGATCACCCGAACAGGGTCAACTGGAGGAGGTGTGTGTCGGCCGCACCTTCTTCCGGAGCGCTCGCCTGACGACGGAGCGACGTGATGCTCCTGGATAGTGTGAGAGAACCAGGCGAGGAAGCTTAACTACTTCCATCTAAGCTGCCACCGGAGAATACTTAAGTTGAGGTGGCAAAACAGAATCCCAAATATGGAAGTCCTGAACCTAACCGGAATCTTCAGCATCCAAGTCATTCTGAGGCAGCTCGAACTCTGACTACGGTGGGGATGGACGACGAGCGCCTACCCAAGTGACTGTTTTACGACGATGTCGTTATGAGTACTCACCGACGAGGACAAAAAACGACGATACAAAGACATCTTGAAAACCTCTTTCAAGAAACTTTAAATCCACTCGGACACCTGAGACAACTTCGCCCAGTACCGACCGGCCTGGAAAAGAGTAGTGGAGACTGGTGTAGCAATTTACGAACTAAATCGGCTCACTGCTGCCAAAGCCAAATATGGCGCTCGCACGTCTCAAACCCGGCGGATCAATAATTCCGACAGTCAATCGTTTCCATCGTGTCCGGGACAACAGCCGACATTTCGCGCACGGAATGGTCTCGTCGGACATCTCCGGACCCAGTGTGCTAACAACGCGAAATTCGTTCTTCAGTTTCAGAAGCCGCCTCCACCTCCATCCTCACGAAGTGGACAACCGCAATCATCACCACCACTAAGCAAACTACCGATGCCCCTCCGTCGCCCAACACCGCCTCTATCATCAATACCACAACGCTGGCGACGACTAGCCTCACCCGTTGGCACACTCCCTACGCCCTGCCAATCACTACTACCGCATCTATCACACCTTGCACCAGCAATGTGGACTCGGTCCCAATATGTCCTCAGTGTGATTGCTCATTCACCTCACGCACCGGCCTGCTCGGTCAGTTTAAAACTCGTGTACTATGGCCGGCGTACCAGTGTCAGGAGTCCTGACTCACATACGTCGTATCCGTCCCCAATGTCCACGCACATTCACTCACCTGCACATTCACCTGCATACCCACGAAAGCGAAATTCACCGTAATGCCGACACACCAATCGCATTCTGCACACCCAACAACCCTACCGCCACCAATCCCCCTCTATCAGCGCAGCCAGTGCTGGCAGCATGAAAACAGCAACTGACTCAACAGCCACTAGCCTATCTTGCCCATATTGCCACGGCACACGCACGTCGCGCATTGGCTCGATCGGCCAATTGCGAATTCATCGCACACAGAGACTGGCGAACCAGTGTCTGGCGCACAAACAAACACCCGTCGCCATCGCCTCAACTGTCTGCACTGCACACACACACATTCAGCCATCACATGGGCCTACTCGGTAACATGCGCCTCTATGAAAATCCGCGGTAAACCGCCGCAAACTAAACGACATCGCCACACACCCCCATCAAGAAATGTACCCCATATGATCAAGTCTGAAATTACACACCACAGACACGGACTAGGCACCTCGCACGTAAGTTAGAAGTGTGTTCTTCGGCCCCTTCTTCATGTGACTACTCTGCTACTTGAGCACAATTTAGATTTGAGAAGTCCACACTTCTTGTGTGAAATCCTGGTGTGCTTTGTGAGGACCAGGTCGTGTGTTTGGAACGCACAAACGGGCTGTTGTTAGCTCTGTCAGCCACCGCGATGAATCGCCACATCAGACAACTGACCGGCCCGGACACTAAACTACTGGTGTCTGGGGCGGAGAAGAGAATGAGGTCGACCTCAGTGCACATTCCCTACTATAGACAATCTGACACGCTTGAATCTATCACGGTGCGCTGAAAGTGTGGTTTGGAAGGCTGTCAACTGACGGGATAACTCGGTCCTCCTCTCGTGATGAAGAGTCAGACTGTAAAGGCTTCGTTCTAATATGGCCTTTATGGCACTCTCACTCAGTTGAGGCCCAAGTTGCCTTTTCCCCCCCCCTCACCCTGCTGCGGGGCACACGGTAAACAGTCGGAAACGACGGTCGGACTGTCAGGTGGTGTTGTTATATTTGATGTTTGCCTTAACCTTACGACCCAGGACAATATAAAGGAGACTTAGATGTAGTAATAGAGTAGCTGAGTGTCCATGCGTAATCAGCAAAGATCACGCTGCAAAACCTCCCGACTAACTATTTTCTGAGTTGTACGTATCTTCATCATGAAGAGCGTTTGCTGTAAAGTCTGCTCAAATGAAGTGCTTGAAAGTAACATTCTCAAACATTCCAACCTACTTTCGGCAGACGATAAGACCGAGGACTAGCAAAAGGACGCCCGACACCTTCTCAGGTTTAAATATTGCTGCCACTTCCTGAACACAACCCGAGTTTTTCGACCTAATGTTGTCAACTCGAAATAGCAAACAATAAAGGCCACTGTACGCAGCTGCAAAGTCAAATACGGTCAGTATCAGAGTTCTCTAGGCATCAGGAAAAAGCACCATGCATATGGAGATTGGATTCTGAGCGCGTCTTGAGTACTCACTTACCAGAGTGGCTTTTTTGAGATCTGGTACAGCGCCATCGAACACGAATACAGGCCTTATCCCGAAGAAGAGGAGTTTACAAATTCGTCGAAAGAGAATAGAGAGGTAGAAGTTGGGATTGCTTGTGCCTTGCGCCCCGCGCGACTTTACAGCCTGGTGCAGCCATATATTCATGTCTGGTAAAAAATGAGATGGGTTCACTTTACTAATGTAACATGAAGGAACAATATTTATTTACCTACTGAGCACAAGGTTTGTCGCTAAAAATGAGGACATCGATAGTATGATGAAATGGAGCACGTGCTTAACGAATCACGATTCCACCGCATGTTTGTCTCCCTGCCGACAGCCTTCTCCTGTTTGTAGATTGCTGAGTCAGTTTACCCGCACACGGGACATACAGACACGATCCTCCCGGAAAACTTTTTAAACAGGAAAATAGGCATGTGCAAAAAATGTATAAACAGCGACTGATCTCATGAGATGTTCGCCGAAATTCTGAAATGCGTTCTCGATTAGGAGGAATTACTTACGTGGGGCTGTAAAATAGACTAGCCTGCGAAGTAATCCTTGTATTTTAAGCAAGCCGGGATGTCGCCTTTTGAATCCGCTTCTTTTCGGAGGCTCGCAGAAACCGAAATCGGTAAAAATGGCTACTTTATTAGTATCCATTCTTTCCATCGATCTTCGATGCCCTTATAAACTAAAAATATTTCGCGGAAACCATGTAGAAAATATTACTTCTTGTTCTCATTTCGTAGCGAATCATGCCTTCTTCAAATATTTTACTCGAATAAAGGGTATTTTTAGATTTTAAAACTTTCTAATTATGAGATTCCTTAAGGCCGTGAAATGTCCCTTAGAAAAGCACTGTATCCGTCTGTTTAATAATGCTCCTCACTAAGTGTACAACATATTCCGCAGTAACATTTTGTGAGCCTCATATGGTATTTTTCTGGTGGCATAAAGGAATGCATGTTTTTCCTTAAACGGAATGTATACAGATTTAGGCCGAAAGCGCTAAACAAAGATGCAACTACAGATCAAGTTCAAAATTATTGGTGAATTTAAAAACTCTTAAACCGAAAAATACTCTTTCTCTGAGTAAAAATCATAAAGACATTATTTGCTACGAAATTAGAACAAGAAGTAATATTATTTTGCATGTTTTCGATAAAATATTTTCGAATTTATAAGGATATCAAAAATCGATGAGGAAAGTAACACTGTTTTTTTTTGAGTACGCTTTTTGCACGCCTATACCCTTCGGCATTGGGTATAACTGGCTGACGACGGCTAATAGGCCAGAAATGGCCATTAGTCTCCTTTGTCTTTGTCGGTAATGTTATGCCGCCTATATTACGCGCCGCTATGAGGCTGCTGGTTGGGCTTGAGAGAGAGCCCGTAAGGCAAAACGGAATAAGTGAGTTCCGTAACACGATCGGTGAGCGCCCCCTCTACCAGTTCTAGGTTTCATTGCATGTCAGCTCGTTCCGGTGTTGAGCACGAAGTCGTCAGCGAAAAGCAGGTCATGGATAGTGGTCGTAGAGAGGCGCGTTGAGGACTGCATGTGCCGGCTTTTGAGAAGATGGCCGTCGGCCTTGTAGACGATGCACATCCGGGGCGTCCTCCACGATAGACGTCCACCAGCATGACAGCAAACATGAGGCGGAAGAGAGTTGGGGCGAATACGCAGCCCTGATTCATTTCATTGGTCACTGTAAATGCTTCTAAGACGTTCCCCTTGTCCGTGATGTGCGCCATCATCTCCTTGTGGAGCTGGCACACCATGTGCGTGAATCATTCAGAACAGTCGAATTTCCGCATGATTTTCCAGAGTTCACCGCGATTCACTGTGTCGAAGGCTTCCGTCCGGTCCATGAAGGTGGTCCTCACTATGGCAAATCTAAAAAGCTTGAGTCCATCATCACGCGCTAAGAGCGGTGGTTTGGAAGGCTGTTAACTGGCAAGGTAACTCAGTCCCCATGAGAGTATTTTAGAGTGAATTAAGGACTGTGAGGCAGATCGCAATGTTACACTCAAAAATGTGAGATTCGAGCCGCAATCATGAAAGTCTGGTACGGGTAGTAGGAACCAGATCGCGTGCAGGAAGCGGTGACGGTCTGGTCAGCCACAGGGTCCGCACCCACCTCCAGTCGCCTTAACATTATCTTGTCATCAGAGCAAAGCTTGTGGGAAGTGAGGGTGTGGTAAACGCTGTGAACTTCAGCTTAATTAAGAACTAATTCACACTGCGTGGGACAGACGGTGGACGTCGTCGATCGCGGAAGCCGAGCTGCCATCGGGTCCTTCTTAAAGTGAATATAGGCTTTATATTCGTTGAAAATTCGGATAGTTTTCTTTATGCACTTGACGCAAATAAACGCAAACACCTGAGTCACCTCTTTGGGCAGGCGTGGCGATGCTGGGATCCGCCTGCAGGACCTGTTATCCCTGCTGTTCTTCGCGTGACCCTTGTTCGCTGTCTTCCCTGACGATGGAGGATAGTGATGCGACCGCATACGCTAGCGCGTAGACAGTTGACTTCAATGCGACTAGGCAATTAACGGTAGTGACTGCCCTAGAAAATTTCTAACACAGTCGACAAGCGGAGTTTGGGATGACACTTTAAATTGTCCTCATGTCCACTACTTGGAATTATTTTAAGGCACGAAATCGTTACCGTACAGTTAGACTTCCAGCATTTATGCGAAATTTAGCAAATAACATTATCGGGCAATAAACGGGACCTCCGTTAACCCTAAAGGAGTGGCAGTGAAGTACGTAGGATATAAAATTTACTACGACAACCCATTTTAAGTGTAAAAGCCTAAAATGGAAGTGGCGACTTCTGCTCTCTTGGCGGCAGACTTCAAAGATGCCCAGAACCAAAGTGAAACTCAATGCTCAGAAAATATGTGGCTTACTGCAAACGGAGTACGAAAATCAGAAGTGTGAATATCTTATTAGTCGTCCGAGGGGCAGAACGTTAGGAAAGCATATGTTTAGACTCCGGAGAGCAACTTAGTGACATGGTGTTTGGTGGCAAAAAAATTCGCAAAAATGTACTCTTTTTGCAACGCAGAAGACATTTGAGGGATGAAACAATAAACGAGGACAGTAGCCTTGCTATGAAGTTCGTTTCTATAGAAAAAAAATCGGAACAAACGAATGAAGGGCAGAGTAAATAAATAAAAAATAGTACTTGCCGATTGCGATTTTCATTCCACGGAATTGT